CCCGCTTGGTGCGGCCCGGCGAGCGGAGCCGTGCCGAGCATAGGCAGGTGGGGGCGGATTCCCAGGCACTCTTTCTCCAGAGCTCTGAGAAGAGGCTGATGTTTAGCCAGTCATTTATACCACACGCCTCTCCTTGGTATTATCGAATCCGACTGCTGGCGCCCTGCTGCAGAGACTGTCGCTCGCTTCCTGCTCTTCTGCTCGCCTCAGGCTGGTCCCCTCGCTATGCCTCCATGCAGCCTCGCCACCCTCTCCTCTGCAGTGCTGTGGGCAGACAGCTGCAGCTAGCTCCATTTAGGATCAGGCCCCATTGCGCTGGGCAGCATGCAGGCGCACACAGGGGGCTGGAACAGTGCAGGGCAGAGAATCAAGCTCTAAACCTGGTATATGATGGAAACCACTTCAAGCCAGGAGGTGCTGCAGCCCTCTCCCCACCTGGCACCCCGGTTCCTGCACCTGTGTAGAGGAGACATCAAAGAGAATGGCGGTGTTTGTCTCCCCTCTAGTAGCTGGTCCCTAGAAAAGGCTTGTGAGTCAGCGACAGCACTTCCCTTAGCTCTTTGGCTCAAGGCGGAGGGCAATTCGTCCATTTGGTGCAGAAGGTCCTGGGTTCAGATCACACCATGGGCCCTGATGGGGTCAGGTACATGAATAAATCTCTCTCCCTCTGCTACAACCAGCTCTGAACTGAGCGCTGCTCTTTCCATCCTCGCCTCATTTCGCTCCCCCTCCCTCCACCGTGGTTACCGGACAGCGACACTGCGTAGCTCTGCCCCGCGCGCCGGGAGGCAGGGTGTCTGGAAGGGGCCACAGTGGTGGCCAAGTTGCACTGCAGCTCCCGGCAGTCACTGTTTCGGCCGTTGCCTCTTGTCTTTAATAACCTGGCCCGTGTCATTTTGCACCTGCTGCTGGTTCTGCTCCAACCTAGCTGTCCAAAGGCCGAAGGAGTAAAACCCGGCACGCCATGCGTTTCCCAGCGGAGCTGGGGAAGAAAACCCGGAACGCAGCAGAAACACGACTCACCTGCATTTATTTCAAAGGCTCTTGTCTCTTCCAGGTGAGATGCTCTGAAGTTTTACCCTAAAACATCCCTTTGTGCATAGGCAGCCCCTTTCCTTCCCTGGACTAGCACACCAGGCCGTACACAGGGGACCCTTCTGAGAGGCAAAGGGGCTCAGATGACACCTGGCAGGAGCCCTGCATGAGTGCTGAAATTGAGGGGCATGCCCTCTCCAGTTGCCAGTGTAGGGGAATGTCGAGGGGGCCAGGTATGTGAGCACTGGCCCAGAACAGCCCCCGGGTAACAGCCCGCTGGTTGTGAATCAAGCCTCAGAAATCTGTAGAGATGTGCTCCATCCCGGGTCAGCAAGACTCACCTGGGCCTGGCATGCCAATTGGCTGCTGCAGCCCCACTCACCAAAGCACCAGGGACGTCTCATCGAATCCTAGAGCACTAGACCTGGATGGGACCTCGAGAGTCATCGAGTCCCGTCCCCTGACCTCACGGGATGAGCGTGTGGGTGTCTAGCGCCTGCGTCTCTCCAGCTGGATCCTTTCATCAGGCAGGGGCCCACAAGAGCGAAACCAGAGGTATCACTTGGGCCGCAGCAGTGCAAACCCCACTAAGGGGGCCACCCCATGGAGATGCTGCATGGAGGGGCGCCTCTCAGGGTGGAAGGGTAGCTCTGCCTCTCTGACCATTCAGCCCACGGCCTCGCTGATTAAGTACGCTGGGGTGGAAGGTTTGCCATATGGGCCCCTGCCTGCTGGGAACGGGATGGAGACCAACATGCTCCTCGCACATAGGCCTCCCGATTGCCCGGGACAGGACAGGAGCAGGGCGGGTCCCCGTCAGACGGAAGGCTCCCAACACCCTGAGCTCCCCTCTTGCGGGAATAGCCTCTCTGAGTCTGCACCTGCCACAGCTCCCGGCTGAACGACGACATCCTCGGGGCCACGCTGGGGGGAGCCACGGTCACCAACCTCAGTCATGCGGTGGAGATCCAGTTCTGGCATGACCTGGTGCTGGTGAGCATGGCCCAGCCGGGCACTGAACAGCTGGGATCCCTCCTCCCCCAGGCCAGGGCAATCCCCAGCTCTCCAGGTCTCCGCAGCTGAAGTCTCAGGACAAGCTCTTGTAACCCAATGGGAATGTGGCTGGAGGGGTGGGAGCGGGCCAGGATCTGCCAGGCACAGGCACGCCCTCTCCCTGCTGCCCTAGCACCATGAACCGCCCAGGATCCCAAAGGGGGAACGGAACCCAGGACTGGCCTTAGGGGAAATGGTCAACGTGTGTGTGGGTGCCCCTGACCCTGCTGGGCATAGCACCTTCCACTTCCCTGGCCACCCCTGGGCTCCCCAATCCTGCACCCCCATCCTGTGCTCTCTTGACCACTAGCCCTGGCATTGTGCCCCCAACCCCTTCCTCCCGACCCCTGCACATTCCTCCCAGCTGTGCCCCCAACCCCAGCCTTGTGCTGCCAGCATGTCCTGCCCCCCTGCCCAGTACCCTGCACCCCCTTTGCCCAGCAACACCCATGCCCCATTGCCCCTCCTCCTCTGGCTACGGTGTCCTGGGCGTGGACCCAGTTTGCCCGACCTTAAGGCCAGCCTTGATGTGAGCCCTGCCCCCTCCTGGCAGTTTGCTCAGTGTGCTGGGGGCCTGGCAGGGAATGGGGAAGGGCAGGCTAGGACCAGAATCTCCCCTGCTCTGTACCACTGAGCAGGCCTCGCCTGGCCTGGAGAAGAGAGCATGCTACACCGCAAAAGGGGCGCAAGGGCTGCCCGTGTGGGCTCCCTGCGAGGAGCTTTAGCTGAGGCAGAAGCTGCAGCAGAGAGCAGCAGCAGCTGTTTCAGGGACACAGGGGGGGGGGCCTTCAAATCCTTCTGGCCTCACCTGGAGGGGGGGGGGAGTCCTGCCGGGGCCTGGGAGCAGCCCCTAGAACATTGCTACAAATGGGGCCCTATGGCTGTTGTTTTGCTTCAATAAAACACGCCCAGTGCAGTCCCATTGGCCCCTGCCCGCTCTGCTCTGCGTTGCTGAGACTCGGAGGCTCAGCCCCCATGCACGTTGTCCTTGCCTGGGCTGGGGAGCAGGTGGGGTGGGTGAGAGGAGCCCACCAAGTGGGCACAACGCAAGGTAGCCCAGCTGTGCGGACCCGGGGGGAAGGGGGGTTTGCCATTTGAGCACTAAGCCGAGGGCCCTGTGGGCTGCGGAGCCACCAGAAAGCAGCAACGAACGGATGCGGGGATTTAGCAGGCACGATCGCGGGGCGGACTGGCCGAATGACAAGGGAGCTGAGACAGCTCTTTGATAAGTGAGCCGGGCCGGGTCCTGACCTGCTGTAAATCTGCTTCGGGGACTCCACGCTAATTTACAGCAGCTGAAAATCGGGTGGAAGCAGGGGAAAAGAACGACAGCGTGTAGGGGACTTGAGGGGATGAAACTGATTAACAATCAGGTGTCTCCTCACTACCCCCTGGAATACTGCACCGGGTGGGGTAGGGGATTCCTGGGATGATACCAGCGCGCTGGGGAATGTGCTGTAGGGAACAGCGCTGCATAGGCAGGAGGGGCCAGTCACAAGCAGGTCCGGTGCGTTGTTCGGTGCGACGGGAGCACAGCCCCCTTGCCATGTGCCTCACGTTTCTCCTCCCTCCCCCGAGCAGGATAACTCCAATGCGACCTGCGTCTTCTGGGTGGAAGGAACAGGTAATTATGATGCTGGCGGTACACACTAGAGAGAACAGCCCAGGCAGAGACGCTCCGCTCCAGCCCCGGGCTCAGGGAACGCCTCCCCAGAGCTCAGTGCAGCCTGCAAGCAGCAAGCGAGAGCGTGTCTGGAGATGGCTAGAGCCCTTCGGTGCAGAGCGCAGCGCCATGGGCCCCTGGGCGAGCGAAGGCCCGAACAGCCAGCTGAGGCGTTCCAGAGATGCTGTGACCACCCCAGCCTGCTGTCCCGTCGAGCGGCAGGAGAACCGGGGAAGCCCCAGCTACCCAGGCGTTCTTCTGCCATCCCAGGGCAGCGGCAAGGTGCCGAAGCCTCCTCCCCATGGGCTGCTTGCACTCCTAGAGCTATCCGGAGACCCGCGCTGGCACCTACCGGGGGTTAAGCCCCACCCGAGGGACTCCGTGAATGACTGCAATTGTCATGCACAAAGCCGGTGGAGCGCTGACCTCTGGTCAGTCAGAGCCACCTGCAAACAGCCAGGCAGGGCCTGGGGAAGCAGCTCCCTTTTTATTCCCTGATTCCAAAGAAGGCATCAGAGACCCGGGGCCATAGAATCTAAGGCCAGAAGGGCCCAGGGGCTCCTCTAGCCTGGCCTGGATCACCAGCCACTAAAACCCAGCCAAGCCCCAAACCGCCCCACTTCGAGCAGAACGTTACAGCCCCAGAGACTGACCGACCCTGTGCCACAGGCAGCGCCCAGGGAGCCAGGCTCTCCCAGGGGCTGCGCCCTGCCGTGCCGGGGACACACCCTGAGCCTGGCAAGGGACCCTCCACGCAGCAAAGAAACTTCTCAGAACTGGAGGCCGCCAGCTTTTGGAGGGCCTGCAGGGCTGGGTCTTCGGGGACTGCGGAGGGTGGGCAGGACAATGCAGGCTGCCCCCTGCGGCAGGGTCTGGGAGCAGAGTGGACACACGTTGTCCTGCTGGCTGTATTCCTTCCCTGCACGCTGCGCTGGAGAACAGCTCAGCATGAGCCCTCGGGTTCAGAGCCTTGAACCACAGCGGGCCAAGCCCAGCGCCGGCCCACCTCTAGCACCAGCACACTCGCGAGACTTGAGATCCCGCCTTGCCCTCCCGACAGGGCCGGGCCGAACCCATCGGCGGCCCCGGGCGCCCGCCCGGCTCACCCGGAGGGTTGCCAGATGGTTTAAAAAAAATTCCAGACAAAAGGCGGCTCCTAAGACCGGCTCCAT